TTTAGGAAATGGCAATCAAAACCACAATGAGGTACCACTTCACACTCACTAGGATGAAAGATGGAAGGAAACAAAAGAAAAGAAAAGAAAAAAGAAAGAGGAAAGAACAATGGAAGGAGATAACTGCTGGTGAGGATGCAGAAAAACATGAATCCCTCATACAGTGCTGGTGGGAATGTAAAATTGTACAGTCATTTTGAAAAAAGTTCAGCAGTTGCTCAAAAAGTTAAACAATATTAATGCATGACACAGCAATTCTAATCCTAGTTATCTGTTTAAGATAAATGAAAACATATATGTCTTAGGACGGGCACAGTGGCTCATGCCTATAATCCCAGCACTTTGGGAGGCCAAGGTGGGCAGATCACTTGAGCTCAAGAGTTCAAGACCAGCCCGGGCAACATAGCAAAACCTCATCTCTACAAAAAATACAATTAGCCAAGCATGATGATGCATGCCTGTAGTCCCAACTACTTGGTGGGCTGAGGCAGGAGGATCGCTTGAGCCTGGGAGGTCGAGGCTGCAGTGAGCTGTTTTCCACCACTGCACCACTGGGCAAAGTGTTGTCCACCACTGTACCACTGGGCAACAAAGTGAGACCCCATCTCAAGAGAAAAAAAAGAAAAAGAAAAAAGAAAACATGCATCTACACAAACATCTGCAAACACTTGTACAGGAATGTTTATGACAACATTACTCATAATAGCTAAGAAGTGGAAACAACATAAAAATCCAATTGGTGAATAAACACAATGTGGTGTAAAAAGAAATGAAATATTGATATATGCTACAATATTAACAAACCTCAAAAATATTATGCTCGGTGAAAGCCAGATGAAAAAGAACAAACATATTGTATGATTCTGTCTATATGAAATGTCCAAAAAATCAAATCTTATAAGGTTAGTGGTTGCTTACAGTTGTAGGTGAGAATATAAAATGGTTGCAAAAGAGCAGTTTCTTTTGGAGCATGATGGGATGTTCTAAAACCATCACCAGACTGTAGTGATCGCTCACAATTCTGTAAATATACTAAAAATTATTTAATTATTGAATTAAAATGGGTGAATTTGATGATGTGTAAATTGTATCACAATAAAACTTAATTTTTAAAAAAGCACTAAGAAGTATTACAATCTTTAAAGTAAGATCAAACCCAGGAGATAGAGTCAGCAGTTCCAAAGTAATACAAACATATGGAAACTTTTTCCCCCTCTCCAGGTGTATTTTTGTTGCTTTGACTTCCCTTTGCCCAGCAGCAATTTATAAAATGTTTCAGATAGCCTAGAAGAATTCAATGTTATTAAAACAAAAATTTAAGTCTGTTAATACTGGACTAGGTTTCCTAGAGATGCATTAATAACATTCCTCTCCATTATAGTAAGAAGGCCTAAATTTCCTCAACTATGAGATAAGGCCAATGCTACTTACATCTCACAGACTTATAAAAATTAAATAAGACAGTTCAGGCTTAGCCTAATGCCTACCATATAATAAGTACTCAGTAGATATTAGCTGCCATAATTATAATAGACGGTTTTCAGTTCCAATCCGATATTGCTCATGTACTCTCATGACCGATACGCCAAATAATTAGTGGAGTAGGAAGAATAGCACAATTTGATTTAAAAAAAAATTACACTACAAGAGACCTAAATCTGTAGGTACAAATTCTGTAAGCTCATTGATAGTGAAAATGAGATCAAGAGAGGAAAAAAGAATCCCATTAAAACAGAAAAACCAAACTGTTTCTCTTCTAAAAATAATATGCCCAAGAGAATTTTACAAAATCCTTGTGCTGTGAAGCAAATACATCATAATTTCCCATTCCTGTTGTTTTGAACAAAGTCACTTCCTAACTCTGCCTACTAACTTAACTGTCATAACCCAGTTTCATCTAAACAACTCATCATGTTCCATCCCATCTTAGTTTCCAGATATTCTAGATATCCTAACCATCCCATTTTACCTACCTTTTAGAAGCAGAACATTCAGAAAAAGGTTAAGAATCAAAAGCTCCAGAACTTTCAATAGAGAAAAACTGAAGTATAGACAAGATGCCCCTTCCTAGCTTAAGACAACTAGGATTTGGAAATGACTCAGGTCCTTTCTACCACACATCAGAGATACATTTTTAAATTCTACTTTTTAATATTCATATACATCCCCCAGAAATAATTTATGAACATTTTAACATTGTGAATTTGAACTAGTTATATATTAATATAGTTAGTTTTATATATATAAAAGACATATATATGCGTCTTCAGTATAAAATTTGGAAATAATACAAAGCCCTCTAGATTTTAAAAATTTGTCAAAAATCACATTCTATTATTCAAAAATTGGCTGAGTAAACTATAAAACTAATTACACTAATGCCTGTTGGCTACATCACTTTTATCAATTTAAAAATGTATCATTTTCCTTTGTCAGGATCATGTCAACCACACTGTTCTTTTTATTTATTAAAAAGATGGTGATTTGGTTCATTATTGTATTTTTAATTCAATTTCTACTGCTACTGAATTTTAAAAACTTTTTATCCTCTAACAATATCATTAAGTGTATATTAAATAGATGTTACAATGTTAATGCTGTGACCATGCCTGAAAATCACTAACTCTGGAAGAGAAGTCAGATGTCATAAATTCTATAAGGAAGGCCAAACAATTATCTTTTTATGCTAGGCTGACAATTTAGCAGAAAATACACTGAAAAAAATACTAGTGATAATGCCAGAAAACTAAAAGGCAAAATTAAAGCAATATGTTACAAAGTTATTGATTGATATCCCAAAGAACCTGTGCCCACCACTTTACAAGCATTCTTATGGAAAAGTGAGATTTAAGTAAGTATTTTTTAATTTTTACTTTTATTAGTTTTTTGTAGAGATGGTGTTTCACCATGGTGCCCAAGCTGTACTTGAACTCCTGCACTCAAGTGATCCACCCGCCTCGGTCTCCCAAAGTGCTGGGACTACAGGTGTGAGCCACCGTGCCCGGCCTGAATGATATAAGTTTTTTGTTTTTTGTTTTTTACTAGGCAAAGAACCTTAATCACCTTTGTTTCAAAGTTTATTCCCAGGCTTCTTCGGCTTAATTAGCTGCAAAGAATGAATTGTGTATAAGCAAAAACTGAAAAGAGCTGCAGTGTCCAAGGGGCTTGGGCTTAAATTAGAGATCTAGATTTTATCATATCCATAAACAAAAATTTCTTTAAAAGCGGTCATAATATAAAATAGCAGCTCCCAGTAACTTCTTCAAGTTTTATCTTCAGAAGTTGATTCAATTCAGTTTGCCTCATTCTTGGAAGCCTCATCAAAATTCTCCACAAGATCAGGAACTTCATCATCATTATCCTCTCCAGTAGCAAGTGGTGCGTTTCCATCCACGGACTGTTTGGGCAGAGCTTCAGCCAGTCTCCTTAAACTAGTCAGACTGTCTGCACCAAGCTGGTTTAAGATGCTGTGTAGCATTTCTGTCAGCTGCTTTGTCTCAGCATGGCCTGTAACGGTGAAAGTGTTTGCTGCCAGCGATGCCTGAACTTTAGGGTTGTTAAAGTGGATCACCATTCCTGGGTTTGTAAACACATTCACCTCTTCAATACCAGAGATACTGTTTACCCCTAACTTCTTTAAGGACAGCTCAAGTTTTTTATCATCTGCTGTGGCTGTTCCATGAACCACCTTCTTCTTTCTACAAGCAGTTCCTTTCCCACTAATGTGCACTTGTGCCTGCAGTTTGGCAAGTTTTTCCTGATTCGTGATTGTTTCTTTCATCCTGTCAGAGCAGGTAAGGGGACATGCAGGGAATTAGGGTTGGTGCTCACAGGGTCTCAGGTGGGCCAGCTGAGATTAGGCACACACATGCAGGGATGCAAGACGGCAGCTAAAGGGGAATTATATATGTTTTGAAGCATGCAAAGTCTTCAGGATATGTCTCCCATAAGATAAAACAACTTCGTATGTGCAAACCTTTCAGAAAATGTGGCTTGGCTTTATTAATTAAAAATTATCATTCCTTTACTTCTAGCATTCCATCTCTCAAACGAAGTATAATTTTTTTATGTAAATCTTTTTGGGAAACCAAGTCTGAATACTGAATGTGTGCTTGTTCTAAGGATGAAAGCATCATCATTGCATCAACAGACCTGCCTTATTCACCTTGACAAGTTATCCATGGTATGGTATGTCAAGAGGCTCATAAACTGCTATGGAGTCGCCAATATATGTTTATATTTCCTAGACACAATTTACTTGAAAAGGGAGAATTAGACTAAGTAGTTTATAGAAGTACTTTGACATAAATTCAAGGACCCCACTGAGTCTTCTAAATTTGTGTGACTTTCCAGTAATCATAATTTGCTATTCTCATTTTTTCATTCACTACGTTAAAAAGAAAATTCAATACTCTTTTTAAAATAACAACTTTCTAATCACTGATTTATGTCCAATTCTGAAATACTGTAAATTATTTCCAGTAACAACTGTAATTTGAATCCTCCAGATATTTAATTCCCCTATACAAATAATTTGTTAGCACTGTGACTATAGGACAATAGTTGCTAAACGGAGTATTTTTGGCTGGCCCAAGTACAGAGGTATTTACAACCAGTTGATTACAAGTTGCAGATGTCTTTGTTTCTGCTCCATTCCCACTGCTTCATTTGACTAGCCTTTAAAAAACAAAAAAGAAGAAGAAATCGAGCACCCTTTCTCACTGCTGATCGCAAATAATGAGTCAATCATCATATGTATAACTCTTGCATTATCAGCAAAAGCTTATCAAGACGTTCCAAATGCACAAAAACAAGGGAGTTAAGATACTAACAATCGCAGAAAGTTAAGAGACTGAAAGAATCTTAGAGGCTACTGAATTCAAACCTTCTATTTTAAACATTGTGGTCATAATTGAGATACAACAAGCTAAAATAAATCATTTATGGTCACATTTTATAGGATAAGCCCATACTATGTCACACACACACACATATCTTACCTTTCTGGTGAAGACTTGGAAGCGACAGGACACCCTCGGATATGCTTTTTATTTTTATGGTCTAGAGAGATGACTTTATTCCTTAGGCTTCTTTCCCACTAGGAAAAAAATGAAATTTTAATAATAAACATATCAATATGCAAGAGGCATTTAAAATGTTCTTTTTTATTTGGAAATTTGTTATAAACAATCAAATACATAGTAGTTCAGAGAAAAATAATAAGTGTAATCTATGGAATATCTGGCTCTCTTGCTAATGCAGAAATGTAAGTCCACCAAAAAATACTAGGAAGACATTTTAAAATACCAAGGTAATTTTAACCAAAAAAATCAATACTTTGAGATTCCAAAGCTTAAACAGCTATTAAAATCTGGAATGTATTTAAAGGAAGTAATGAAAATTATTACATAGAAGGTTAATGGATGGGCGTGGTGGCTCACGCCTGTAATCCCAGCACTTTGGGAGGCCAAGGTGGGTGGATCACCTGAGGTCGGGAGTTCAAGACCAGCCTGACCAACATGGAGAAACCCCGTCTCTACTAAAAATACAAAAATTAGCCAGGCATGGTGGCGCATGCCTGTAATCCCAGCTACTCGAGAGGCTGAGGCAGGCGAATTGCTTGAACCCGGGAGGCGGAGGATGAGGTGAGCTGAGATCGCGCCATTGTACTCCAGCCTGGGCAAAAAGAGCGCAACTCTGTCTCAAAAAAAAAAAAAAAAAAAAAAAGAAGGTTAAATAGGGCCTATGATTCTAAAGTAACTGCATTTATAACAATTGAAAGATATTAAAGTTAGTTACCTATGAACTGCCACATGGAAAATTTTAGGAAAGAGCTAAATAAATAAATAAATAAACCCAAATAAATGAAAAAGACATCCCCTAATCGAGGACTGAAAGACTTTACTAACTATATCAACTATTTTGGTTAGCAGTTGGGCATTACTCCTCAAAGTGACCTCCAGGTTCCATTCACTCCCTACCAAAATTCCAACAGCCTGTTTTGCAGAAATGGACGAACTGATCTGACGATTAATTGCGAGAGGCTCAGAAGAACCAAAATAACCTTGAAGAAGAAGAAAAAATTAGAGGACTCACATTTCAGTTTCAAAATTTACTATGACGCTATAGTAATCAAAACAATCTTGGCAAAGGGTAAACATACAGATTTATTGGACAGAACTGAAAGTCTAGAAATAAACCCATATAACTAGGACCAACAATTGATTTTCAACAAGGATGCCAAAACCTTTCATGGAAGAAAAATAAACTTTCAACAAATAATTCTAGAAAAACTAAACTGCCACATGCAAAAGTATGAACTTGAACCCTTGCCTCACACCATATTCAAAAATAGATTCAAATGGAGAGAAGACCTAAATATTATACAAGAGCTAAAATTATGAAGCTCTTAGAAAAAAACACAGCAGTACATTTTCATGACTTCTATTTGGCAATGATTTCACAGATATGACCAAAAAACCACAAGTGACAACAGAAAAATGATAAATTGGACATCAGCAAAATTTCAAACTTTTATTCATCAAAGAACACTACTGGAATAGTGAAAAGGCAACCAACCCACCAAATGGGAGGAAATACAGTATCCAGGCCAACCACAATGGCTCACACCTGTAATTCCAGCACTCTGGAAGGCCAAGGCAGGAAGATTGCTTGAGGCCAAGAGTTTCAGGCCAGCCTGGGCAACACAGCAAGACCCCATCTCTTAAAAGAAAAAAGGTATAGTGTTCAAAATTTAAAAAAAAAAAAAACTCTTACAATTCAGTAAGATAAAGACAAAAATATTTTAATGGGCAAAGAATGTAAATAGATATTTCTCCAAAAAAAACTACACAAATGACAAAAAGCACATTAGAAGACACTCAATGTCATTAGTCATTAGGAAATGCAAATCCAAACCAAAGTGAAAGATCTCCACAATGAAAACCATAAAACATTGATGAAAGAAACTAGAGAACGCCAAAACAATGGAAAGATATTCCACGGTCATAGTTTGAATCAATATTGTTTATCTCCTTCGAGAACAAAAAAGGAAAAATGAAAAAAGAATCAATGCTGTTGAAATGTCACTGTTAAAATGTCCACACTAAATGAAGAAATTTATAGATTCACCAAAATCCCTATAAAAAATATAAATAACATTCTTCCCAGAAGAAGGAAAAATACCCCTAAAGTTTATATCAAAACACACAAAAAAAATGCAAGTCAAAACCACAATGACATATCATTTCGTACCCACTAGGATGAGGAATGAAAGGAAGAGAGAAGGAAAAGGAAGTAAAAGAGCAAGAAAGAGAGAAAAAAAATAAGTGTTGGTGAGTATATAAAGAACCTGGAACCTTCATACATTGCTAGTGGGAATGTAAATGGTACAGCTACTGTAAGAAAAAAAAAAAACAAACAGTATTGCAGTTCCTCAATAACTTAAACATAAAATTACCACATGACACAGAAATTCCCATCCTAGGTATAAAACAAAAGAATGGAAAATAGGTTTTCGAACAGATACTTGTATGTTCATAGAAGCATTATTCAATAATAGCAAAAAAGGTGGAAACAATACAAACAGATGAACAGATAAACAAATGTGATATATCCATATAATGGAATATTATTAGACCATAAAAAGAACTAAAGTACTACCACATACTATGACATGGATGAACTTTGAAAGCATTTGTGCTGAGTGAAAGAAGCCATAGACACAAAAGATCATATACTGCATGATTCTGTTTTTGTGAAATATCTAGAACAGGAAAATCCAGGCAACAGAAAACAAAGCAGTAATTTCCAGGGGCTGGGAAGCTGGGGGAATAAAGAGATAAAATAAGAAGTGAATGCTTAATGGTTAAAGAGTTTCCCTTTGGAGTGATGAAAAAGTTCTGAAACTAGACAGAGAAAGTGGTTGCACAACACTGTGAGTGAACTAAATGCCACTAAATTGAATGCAATTAATAGCTAATATGGTAAATTTTGTTACATGTGTTTTGTCACAACAATAACAAAAAAGTGAAAGGAAAGGAAAGGAAGGGAAGGGAAGGGGAGGGGATAGGGAAGGGAAGGGAAAGAAAGGAAAGGAAAGGACTAAGAATGAAGGGACTGGGTGCAGTGGCTCACATCTGTAATCCCAGCACTTTGGGAGGCCAAGGTGGATGGATCGCTAGAGGCCAGGAGTTCGAGACCAGCCTGGGCAACACGATGAAATCCCATCTCTACTAAAAATACAAAAATTCGCTCAGCATGGTGGTGCACACCTGTAGTCCCAGCTACTAGGGAGGCTGAGGCACGAGAATCGCTGGAACCCAGGAGGCAGAGGTTGCAGTGAGCCAAGATCATGCCACTGCACTTCAGTCTGGGCAAAAGAATGAGACTCTATCTAAAAAAAAAGAAGAAACCACTAAGAATAAAGGAAAAAACTGATAAACTAGATTCATCAAAATCAAATATTTCTGCTCATCAACAAACATACAATTAAGAAATAAAACAGCTACAGATTGAAAGTATTTGCAATACACATCCTGACAACAGACTCATATCCTTATTATATAAAAAATTCCTGTACATCAATAACAAAGACTAAACACTCAGACTGAGCCAGGTACAGTGGCTTATGCCTGTAATCCCAACACTTTGGGAGACTGAGGCAGGAAGATTACTTGAGGTCAGAAGTTTGAGACCAGTCTGATAAATACAGTGAGACCGTATCTCTACAAAAAAGGTGGTGGCACGTGTCTGTAGTCCCAGCTACTCAGGAAGCTGAGGCAGGAGAATCACTTGAGCCTAGGAGTTTGAGGCTGCAGTGAGCTATAATTGTACCACTGCACTCAGGCCTAGGTGACACAGGAAAATCCTGTGTGTGTGTGTGTGTGTGTGTGTGTATATATATATATATATATAAAAACTCAGATTTTAAAAATGAGCAAGAATTCTACTTGAAATAAAATGGAATAAGAATAATCTTCTCTGCTTCTCCCACTGAGCGCAACTAAGAATTCTAGACAGACTTCATGGCAAAGCTATCTTAGGACCCTGAAGAGTATGTGCTAAGAATGATATTGGTGAACTCAAAGTAATACCAAACCTGCAATCTAACCAAGACCCAGAGACTTACAACTTAATATTCAAAATGCCCAGGATATAATCCAAAAACTGCTTGGCATATAAAGAACTTAGGAAATCTCAACAACTCACAAAAGATGAGAATCAAGAGCAGCCAAGTAGAAGAAGACAGAGATGTTGAAATTATCAGAAAAAAAAATTTCATTTTATTTATTTATTTAATTATTCATTCATTTATTTATTTATTTGAGATGGAGTGCAGTGGCATGATCTCAGCTCCCTGCAACCTCCGCCTCCCAGGTTCAAGCAATTCTTCTGCCTCAGCCTCCCAAGTAGTTGGGATTACAGGCACCCACTACCATGCCTGGCTAATTTTTTGTATTTTTTGTAGAGACTGAGTCTCACCATCTTGGCCAGGCTGGTCTCCAACTCATGACCTCAGGTGATCCAGCCACTTCAGCCTCCAAAAGTGCTGGAATTACCAGTGTGAGCCACCACACACAGCCAGAAAAAAAAGCTTTAAAGTGGCTATTATACTGTTCTCTGAGAGGATGAACTCTCTTCAAAGAGGTAAAAAGACAGAAATTCTCAACAGAGAAACAAAAGTAAAAAAGAAACAAATGGCACTTTGAGAACTACAAAGCAACATGACCAAATTTTAAAAAGCACTGAATGGCCTAAAGCAGGAGTCCCCAACCCCAGGCCATGGACCGGTATTGGTCCATGGCCTGTTAGGAACCAAGCCGCACAGCAGGAGGTGAGTGGCAAGTGTGCAAGTGAAATTTCATCTGTAGTTACAGCCGCTCCCCATCACTCACATTACCACCTGAGCTCCACCACCTGTCAGGTCAGTGGCAGCATTAGATTCTCAAAGCACAAACCCTATTGTGAACTGTGCATATGAGTGATATTGGTTGCATGCTCCTTATGAGAATCTAATGACTGATGATCTGTTACTGTCTCCCATCACCTCCAGATGGGATCATCTAGTTGCAGGAAATCACGCTCAGGTCTCCCATT